AAGGATTGTTTTGGGCCCTTAATACCCAAGCAGCCAGCCAGCTTAGCATCTCTCAATATAATGTCTGAACCATAATCTAGCAACGCATTTGTATCGACACATGACCTTGGTCCTCTTACTCTTACTGGCACAACACCTAAATAGACCTTCTGGAAGTCGTACGGTGCAAAACTGATATTACAATTAATAGAACTCCCCTGATTCTTCGATACTGTCAACAGCGGATGTAATCCCAATGAGCCACTACCACCATTCTCAGCTGTCTCACAGTTAAGCTTTGTGTGCCCATCCTTTAAACAGCAGAAGCATAACCGTTTCCTTTTCACAATTTGTAACCTTTCTGTCGGAGACATTTGAAAGAAACAAGCACACTCACTAAGTATGTGTACGTCGCCACAGATAATACACTTCCCTGAACGTCCAATGCTTTGAGAACCTCTCGTCACAAATGACTTTGTCTTACTCTCTGACCTCTCAGTTTCAGAAGCCGGATGCAATATGCTGGCGAATTTACTCATAGTCTGATTAACATTATCTGTCACTAATCTCAGTATATCGTCGAACCCTGGCTCTAAACCTTCATCCTCTATACGAGAGTTTATCTTCACCCATTTCCTTTGCAGTCGAGTGGGTAGGCGTCTCGCTATTACCTCTAGGACAGAACTCGAGTTCAGATGGCTCATGCAATTCATTGAAACCAACGTATTCTTGAAGGTCATCAGATTATCCAGAAACTCAGTGAGTGCCTTGGAGTCATCTCGTAACTGACTACCATTACCTTTAACAGCCTCGTATACATTCCTTACAGTCATAGAAGGTCTTCCAAACCTTCGACGCAGGATACGTATAGCCTCCGTATATCCCTCCCTAGGTGGCAGAAACTTGCAACATTGTATTGCACTCGCCACACTACCGGCACAATACCTCAAAAAGTACATTAGTTTCATCTCATCACTTAGTTTCAAACCCTCTAGCATGACTTCGATTTCCTTCCCAAAGTGAGGAAAGTCAGCAGGATTCCCTTCAAAGCACCTAGACTCGAACCTCGGTGGCTTTAAGCAACTTATCTCTCTGGCTGGTCCATCATGATTATCCAGCCTAACATCAGACATAACATTACATCGCTAACTCCTGCAGCACACCAGCGCTGTTTTAAGTCTCTGGCGAACTAGCTGTGCAAAGAATGCTGTAGTTCGGCTTACTTTCGTATTACGGAAGTCACTGGCGCTCTCACTGGAGCTCGAATGCTCATGGACTGCAAGGTCTTCCACCGCACGAGAAGAGAGACTGCTGCTCATGCACCGATGACGTGACTAGCGTCAACGACAAAACAATGCATGTTTCCTATGCGTCTCTGTCAATGAGTAAGTGCCCTTCAGCACAAAATGGCACCCACCATATTTCGGACACCCATGCTGCCCCAACAATACTGGGTAAGCCCTCCAGTGACAGTCACAGAGAGACTTCCACGAAGAAGAGGCGTACTGGGTGTCGAAAACCTGCAGCTCAAGTCGCCCAGGGGCTCGTAGATCAGTCCTCTTACACCCTGGTGAATAGGAGGCAGGTAAAATCAACTACGATTAGCGAGGAGGATGCCAATGAGTGACGAGATTAGGACAACACATCGGCCATACTGCCCACGAAGGACGGAAAGATGTTTACGCCGCAGGGCGTGAAAGCCACAGCAGGTGAACCTGATCTCTCTGACAGGTCGCTCATTCTCCACAAAGTGGAAGAATCACTGGCCTCCAATTACAAGGTCAGGTTCGAGCATGACCTTAACTTGGTCGAGCACCCTTCAGATAAGCTGCTGCCAAAAACAGTATCAGGCATAACAATATACAGGGTATATAGAACCAGCCAAAAGCCTGACCATACAGTAAATCAGCCTGTACGCTTCCTCAAAGTCGTACTTAACTCCCAAGAAGAGAAAGATGCCATTCAAAGCAACTCTCAGATTCTTAAAGGATCAAGCATATATGTACGTGCTGACTTATCCCTGGCAGACCGTGTCAAAAGACAGTCTACGGCCCTATAATTAAGCGAACGATTTCGGAAGGGCGAAAAGAACCCTGAGATTAAGGGTTTTCGGGTAGGCCTCCGAAGCACCAAACTGAATTGACAGTTTGCTACACAAACGCCCGCAACCTGTTGAACAGACGGACTGAGCTGGGTAATGTGATAGACTCCGGAAATCCGGATGTAATTATCATCACAGAGACATGGCTCACACCCGATATCACTGAGAACGAAGTTAACCTGCCAAATTTCGAAGTGCGAAGGGTGAACCGTCCTAACTGCAAAGGACGTGGCGTAGTGATCTACCTCAAGAAATCCTTAACCGTGCGTAGCATCTAAGCACTCACTCACGAAATTGAATCGTGTGAACTGCGACGCTGCAGACTTAAATGCATTGGCCAAGACATTGACCTCATTGCCACATACCGTAGTCCTGATTGCAGTGCAGATGACTTCCAAGGAAAGAAGCTAGGCTCCTGGACTTCGAAATGTCTAAGTCTCGTAGTCAGTGACTTCAAAAACCCAACAGCTGACTGGACAAGCCTTACAACGCCATCTTCGGACAACTCCTTTGATCATAAACTGCTGGAACCTAGTATTTCGCTAGCCCTAGCCCAACACATCACGAAACCCACGCGCTATGACTCACAACACTACTCTTTAACTCTGGACCTGGTGTTCTCCCATGGTGAGGAAGTGGATCTCATACAACATCTTCCTCCTTAAGGAAGAAGTGATCATGCTGTGCTCACTTTCAAGTTCACAGCAACAGCATCAAGGGCCAAAGCCACAGCTCGACCAAACGTTTGGAAAGCTGATATAAATGCGATCGTCTCAGCAGCCAACTCAGTGAACTGGTACATCAGCCCAGAGTCCCAAGTAGAAGCCTCATGGAACCAATTTAAACAAATCTACGCACAAGTAACTGAACGTTTCATCCCTTGGTCTGTCCGACAGGGTTAGAAACATTTCCCTTCTTGGATAGACCGAGAGATTCGGAGTTACTCAGACATAAACACAAATGTTGGGATCTGTTTGCCACACTTGAGACTTCTGAGACCAGGAAATTATATAACACTGCTAGAAATAAAGCTGTTGCAGAAATCCGCCAATCAAGGATGGAGTTCGAAGCACACCTGGCTCAAAACGCAAAGGCACAACCTAAGAAAATTTTCTCGTGCGTGAACTTCAGGAATAAAACATCCAATGGTGTCCCGAACCTGACTAGTGACAACAAAACAATCGAAGAAGATCAAGAGAAAGCAGAAGCAATGGCAGACTACTTGTCCCAAGTCTTTACTTAGGACTAATCACTTTCTATAGGATCAGCTCCGGCTGCATCAGAGGAACACAGAATAGATTCCGTTGACGTTGACCGAGACACCGTGCTTAACCGCCTAATGAAACTAGATGTAGGGAAATCAATGGGTCCTGATAACCTTCATCCGAGGCTTCTCAATGAGCTATCAGCTCATATAGCCGGCCCACTGACCACTATTTTCAAGCTCTCTTGTAAATGAAGTGTTACCGCGTGACTGGAAAGACGCCATAGTAACCCCCATCCACAAAGGAGGATCAAGACAAAACCCTTCAAATTACAGGCCTATTAGTCTCACTAGCACTTTAGTCGAGACACTGGAAAGAATCATCAAGAAAAGTATCATGGCATATCTGGAAAACAACGAAATGTTATCCAGAGCACATCACGGCCTCCGAAGAAACCTCTCATGCCTGTCACATCTCCTCATTGCAAGAGAGAGCTGGGTCAGATCAAGGGACAACAGAAGACCCGTCGAAGTCGTCTTCACAGACTTCAGCAAAGCCTTTGATAAAGTACCTCACAAAAGACCACTCACGAAGTTGGAAAGTCTTGGTATCAAAGACAGATTACTAAACTGGCATAGGGAATTCTTCATAGGTAGGAGGCAGAGGGTTGGGATCAACTCGGAACTCTCCTCGTGGACAGCAGCACGTAGCGGAGTGCCACAAGGCACGGTACTCGGACCTCTCCTATTTATTTTGTATATCTCTGCTCCCCGACTCCCCTATGGTCCTATACGCAGATGACTTAAAAATTTGGAGAGCTGAAGGTCAACAGTGATACTTCCACGCCGCAAGAGGACCTCAACAAATTGTCAGAGTGGTCCGTAGAATGGATGCTCCCGATCAATGTGGAAAAATGTGAAAACATGCCCACTGGACACGTAAACACTAGCTCTAATGGACTAGAGGGAATAACACTTCCATCAGTTCAGACTCATTTGGATTTAGGTGTCACAGTCAGTCACAGTTTAGAAACTACAGCACACTGTCACGCGGTGGCTGCACGTAGTTTCAGGTCCTTATGGGCAATTCGAGGAGCCTTTACTAGAATCACCAGAGACATGTTCACCTCCTTATACACATCTCAGCCTCTAAAAGGTCAAGACTGGAAAACTGCATCCAGGCCACCAGTCCTTGTCTAAAAGGGGACTCACAAATTCTAGAAAGGGTTCAAAGGAAGGCAACACGTATGGTTCTCAGCATGACTAACTTATCATACGAGGAAAGACTTGTCAGTTTAAATCTCTTCTCCCTACTATACCGTAGGCAGAGGGGAGATTTAATCACAATGTTTAAAATTTTATATAATGACTACGGACCTGACCTATTCTATCTTTTCCTTCCCACCAGGTCGGAACACCTTAGAAGACATAGCGCGAGAGCGCTAAAGGCAAGAAGAAATCGTATTGCTGTTGAGTACTGGTTCTCACACCGAATCATAAACTCTTGGAACCGACTCCCAGAAGAAGTGGTGTCTGCAACCTCAATTGATTCATACAAGCAGGGTTCAGACAACCACAAAAATCTACTAGAAACGAATTAACATAGGCTCCAAGCCTTCGATCCTTAACCGATAAGTCTGAAATCTGAATCTGAAATTTTTATATAAATCGTCACAAATAGATTGGATATCGAGTTGACCTTGAGAATTTTTAAACATTCCGTTTTCGATGCCGTTTTTAGATGTTTTGTGCCCGGATGGTCATAAAGTCATAGTGGAAATTTCGAAATCAACGCCACTCATTCAAGTAAGTGATAAATTTTAAATTATTTCTCCTTAGGCCCTTGAGAAAGCATGTAAAATCAGTGGTTTGGATCCATTGAAATACCGTTTCAGGTGGGTGATAAATCCTTTATCAATTACAGTTTATAAAATCCTGGGATTTTATTTCATATTTGTTTCTAGTAGTAATTTAGTGGTATGCGGAAGACTTCTGGTTATCTCTATCAGGGTTACTTCCAAAGAGATTTGTGAAATTCGACTATATCACATACCATAGTTAATACAGTTATTATTCCTAGTATATAACATTGAGGAGATCGTGTGAGGAAGAAATGAAAGCGCACAGGCAATCGTGGAACTAGCTAGAAAGGACTGCAGAGAACAAGATGAAATGGAGATGTACTGTTGAAGTCCCATGCTTCACTCGGAACTTCTGGCAATAATAAATAACACGTTAAGTTGTCACACTGCGGTAGCTTTTTGCGGATATGAAATTAGTTCTAACAGTCATATTACAGTTATTGTTGTAAGTCTAAATTTCATTCCATTTCTTCTGATATCAACGACTAGAGAGTTTTATTTGTCATCCTTGATATACTTTTCTTTAGTGGACTTGTTCAGTTGCATAGAATTGTCACGCTGTTAATCCGATAATTAAAATGTATTATTGTTTTTCAGATGATTGATACACATTGCTTTTGTTTTTCACTTTTTTAATCCGTCCTTCCTATATTATAATATACAGTCATAATCGACGTCCAGTGGATTTATCTCAATCATTTGATCACTCTGGTCTTGTCAATCATGCAGATGTAGAGCTTATTTTATCAGATAGAGTTGATCAGGGTCAATATACGCCACGTATCTGTTTACGTCTTGATAATGGGCAACGTGTGGAATGGACTGGTAGATCTGATACGCCTATTTGGTCAATTCTTGAACAACTGGCTAGTACCAATTCACAGTATGTTTACTAAGCACTTGTTGCTTTTTTCATCCTCTCCCTATTTTGCTCATTTATCAAGTGACATTTTATAGTACTGTGCATAAATATATATATAACTGGTTTCAACATAGAATTTTCTACTGAAGTGCAGCAGTTCGAGTTGTTGCACTCTGTGAAGAACCCAACGGAGGATAAAAGAGGAAAACAGAGTTTCGTAAGAACGATAACACGCAGAAATGTGAGGGGAGAAGAATAGTAACATAGAAAAGTAATATGGCTTTTTGGATAGAGTAGGTCACAGAGAGTGAATGCATCTGCTGAATTCAGAACGTTTACGAGCTAAATCACCAATTGTTTCCAGCCTTCTTTGGTTCTTACCATCTCGAGGACCCTAACCAGGTAGGCAAGAAGTCTACACCTCCCTACATGGCTGGCTTAAACTGTTATTGATTTCATTGGCTAATGAAGCCATGTTGTGGTTTGACCACCACTAACTCTTTTCCAACCTGATCCCATGTCAGTCAGTTAACATTGCCAGTCGAGGAAGGCGACGGCTAGCCATACGTATCACGTGCCTTCTCAATAGATCTAGCTCATCGGTAGATTCTTCTCCTTACCTAGCACTCGACGCCTAACCTCAATATTACTCATCCTACCTATGCCACCTAACACGCAAGATATAACGCAAACATCTGTGGTGACAGCTAGCCTTTTTTTACATTTCCCGCTTTCAGTTGGAATGTCTCACAGCCATGAAGGAGGAGAGAATGAACTGCTGAGCAGTACACACTTCCTTTGTCCGGTCGTCGGATATCACACCTACTCCAGAGATGGTGTGACTTGTCAAAGGCTACATGAGCCTTCTCTATCCGTGGTGAGATTTCGTCAGCAGTCAGTCTGTTGACACAACTTTCCAAATAAGTGGAGTGGTCAACATGCTCTACCACCTCACTCCTGCCTATCTCTAAGTTACAAGTTGATGTAGTCCAGTCCAGTTCAGTTCTGTAGCATCATCTTACATCTTACGGGAGCCAATCGTATGGCAAACATTTGAAGATTGCTGCTCCTCAAGGTGTTCAGATGACTCTACTAGATTTTGTCAGTGTCTTCACCCAGCAGAGAGGACTATATTATCTGCATATTCTAAATCAACGCGATTGTCGACATTCTTTAAGGCTTGTTTCAACACTGGACTTTTAGATGTATTCCATTTCATATTGTTCGAAGATTATGATGACATAAGTTGGTGTGGGACGTGACAACGACACAAATCTGTCCAATGAAAATGCTGTTTGTTTTAGATACTGTGTTGTTGTTTTACAACGTTTATGTTGTAAATCAGTACTTCAAAAGTAACTTGCATCAATATTTCATCTATCGAGATTTTGAGGTGGCCAAGCTAGTCCCACGCTTTGTAGCCCAATCGATAGCTGATACCTTAACGTGGTGATCGGGCTTGCATATCCCAATGGCCCAGTGAACTACTCTAACTCCAACTGATGTTCCTTCAGAAATGTCGTTTGGACGGCGGTTAGACTAAACTCAGTTACTACTATAGTGTAAGTTGTTCGCACTATGTTGCCGAGTAGGGATGTCACAGCAGTAAGGTGTTCCCCTCAGATGATCAGTGAGCTAGCTATGCTGCCTTTCCGTTCTGGGGTGAGGAGGGACTTAGGTGTAGGTCGATCTGGAAAATTGTAATGTCTTGACTCAACCCATGGCTTTCCATAGCCGTCAGCAAGATTTTAATAAGGACACAATTCCAAAAAGCTCTTGGAATCCTCTCTGTGTGTGTATGTGTGTGACTAGCCTCAAACAGTTGTCGCTTAGGCCCTCAGGTAGGGTGATACTAATACTCTTTCTGTTTGAGATACACCAAAGTGAAATCAACTTCCATGGTGTGAGCAGTCGAGAAGTAATAACCGCCCACACACTTTCGTCAGTCCCCCAAGCTTTCCTGATCATCCTACTTTACTTATCTTGAAAGTTACATATGTGTTTGAGTGTTCATGGTCAACATAGTACGAACACAAATACTCAAAGTGTGCTCAGCTCTTTCATATGTACATTGCCTTGGCAGAGTTGGTAGAAGCTGTGGGTTACCTTGTGTCTAAATATATTTGTTGAAAGTAGAAAGATGTATATTGACTTCATTTTTTAAAAACCCGTGTCAGCTTCATATTATTTTCCACTTGTAAGGGAAATAGAATAATTGTGTCCTGTGCTATTGACAAGATTCCTGTCTATCAATGGAACTGCTGTCCCTGCACCTACTTCTTGGCTATTCACTCACAACTTAGAATAAATAGCTCTCCTGTCGATAGCCCCCACTACTTCTAGTCTTATAGGAGAGAAAGAGCTCAAGTTATACTGTTTGAAATGTCTTCTTCCCCATCTGTCTGGGTAGTTTCTCCTCCACTGTTTTAATTTTCCACATTCAAAGCATCGGGTTTTCCTGGCACTCATTCGTAGCACCGCTACTTCTCGCCGCAAATCTTCAATTTTCTGTTTCTATTTGATCGATTTCGGTGGCTGTGTTGCCGCTACCGTTGTACTCAGCAGCTGTCTGGTCATCTTTCCTGGCTTACCAATGTCCATAGTTTGTGCTGCGTTAACCAGTTGTAGTTGCTGAGAAATGTGGTGTAGGAAACTCTCAATGAACTGGGAAGTCAATAACTGCGACTCCAACTCTTCATCCAATGTGGGGAGAGTGCGACGTAATAGATTCGTCAGCTTTACCGCCAACATTAACGAGTCTGCTTCAGGTCCCATCTTCCCGGCAAGGAACTGCTGCGCTGCCGTCTGCCTATCTGTCGGGCTGTCGAACTGTGCCACCAACCGTTCAACCAATAGCTTCCAGCTCTCCTTCTCACCTGACCACTCCACACTGTCGTACGCTGCGTCCCCGATACAAATGCCTTCGCCATCGGTTCCTTGATGCCCACCAACTCAAAGACGGCATCGAAGTCCCTAAAGAAGCTCCTGATGTCTCCTTTTTCGAAAGCAACTGGCCATGGGACCTTCATTGTCTTAAGGCAGAAACACATTAAATGTAACGGTTAAAGGCAAGAGATTTGGTAACGGACTGTTTATTTGGAATTTGATATCTCTGTATTAGGGAAATTATGTACACCTTATGAAAAAAAATCGTCATTTGTACAGATCTTCCGTGTTGTGCTACTGCTACTCTTGCCCTTCGCGGATTGTGTTTCTTTGTCTTCTTTTCATGCCTGCCACGTTTTGCCGGTTCACACTGGTTCACTTCCTCCTTCTTCTTTGACGTCAAATCTATCCTTCTGCTGAATAATAATATTTGTGCTGATGAATGTCTCTCTTGACTACTGATAAATGTTGTCAGTAGCATATGCCGCACAATCAGTAGTATAATTTACTCTCCAAAGCTTTTGTACTTGGGTTGTTTTTATTAACGACTTGTGATTTTGAACATAATTGCATTTAATTATTCTCTTCAGTGCCTTTTTCACAAGAGACCACAGAATCTCAGTAGCCAGTCATCTCTATTCTGCAGAGTATACCAAGAAATACAACACCTGAAATATGAGCGCTATTCACTAACTCAGGAGAAAATTTCACCCAGATCACGTTTTTAAGTACTGTTTAGACAATGTTTTAATAGCTCGTTAGGGTTAGGATTAATGTTATGGTTACGATTAGGGATAGATTTGGAGTTGATGTCATTTATTTTAATTTGTTTTCTTATCCACATTTTTCTGGTAAGTGGTCGTCTATCCTCTTACTGGAAACCATAGTAATGCGACCGAGGGCTTTTGGTGAAGACTGCACAATGGGATAAGAGAGATAAACGATTCACAAAAACAGTCGATCTTCAGTCACCTCGGTGAATACATGTACAGAAACTAGTCTAACTTAGCAACTGATACTCCTCATTATAACTTGGACGTATTTTTAAGTCATGTTAGAGAAAGATTACCCCCTGTTTAATGTATTTTCATGCATTTTCTTGTAAATATATACATCATTTTTATGATTGGTCGGTTGAAGGTCACACACTCTTGCTTTTGCCATCCCTTGGGATGACGCTATTGTTGAACTCTGCTGGTTCTCTAACTCATATCAGCTCACGATGAAATCCTGTAACCAATTAATTAAATCCCCCACAAACCAATACTACAAGACGACGATATAAATAACACTTTTCTTCGTCTTCATTTTCTACTTGTTAATTGTTTTAGCATTGCAGAGATAATTTCTGGCCAGCATAGTTCATCCTCTGGTAATACTTGTCCAGCAATAATCTATCTTCAAGAAAAAGTATGTTTACTATTATTATTATTATTATAATAATATTATTGTTTCCTTTAATTCCTAGAGGAACATAGGGCTTCAGCCGTGCGTCTCCATTGCTTTCGGTTCTCTGCAAAGGTTTTCACCTGGCTCCAAGTCTACCCACATGTTTTCATCTCCTCTTCACATGACCCCCTCCAAGTCACTCTTGCACTGACGACCAACTCGTCGCTTCCCTTTCGGGTTCCACCCGAGCAATTGCTTGTCTAGTGATGTCACTTGATGGTTTCCTCAGAGTATGGCCAATCTACCTCCTTTTCTTCTTGCTTGTTTGTTGCACAATCGGTTCCTGGTTGGTTCGCTCCCAGAGATCCCTGTTGCTGATCTTTTCTGGCCGGCCATCTGATCTTGAGCGGAGTATTGAGCGAAGACAGCTGGCTGTTGATGAAGGTCTGTAGTTTGTTTAAGATGCTCTTTATGACGCGCCAAGTCTCTGATCCGTATAGTAGCACTGACTTCATATTGGAGTTGAAAATCCGGATCTTATTTTTGATGCTGAGTGCTGTTGACCTCCACAATGACTTGAGAGTAGTGAAAGCTTGTCTTGCTTTTCCGATTCTTGCTTTGATATCCTCGCCAGTTCCGCCTGTAGTTGAAACGATGCTTCCAAGGTAGGTAAAGGAGGTTGTTTCTTTCAGGTTCCTCCCATTTATACTGATTGTTGTCAGTTGTTGTTGTTGCTGTTGGTGGTGTTACCCAGGAATCTTCATCACCTCTGTTTTCTCTATGTTCACTTGAAGTCCTATCTTTGATACTTCTTCTGCCAACTTGTTGCTTTTCGCCTGCATATCTTCCAGTTTGTGGGAAATCAGACATATATTATCGGCGAAGTCCAGACCCTCCAATTATTTTGTGTGGTTCCATTTTATGCCTGTTTCCTCACTGCCCGCTGTTTGTCGCATTATCCAATCTACTGCAATCAGGAAAATCATTGGCGATAGTAGGCAGCCTTGTCTTACTCACTTCGAAGGATTTCGTAAGTTTCCCGTTGTGGATTACTTGGCATGCAGCATTGTCGTACAGCTGTTGGATGAGATGTATAATTGTCGGTAGTACACCGTAGTAGCGAAGTAGTTGCCAAATCACCTCTCGATCGACGCTGCACTATCGAAGGCCTTTTCAAAGTCGATGAAGTTGACATAGAGAGGTGACTGATGTTTACTATGATATTGTTTATTTTTGGAAAAGTGATGCATTTTCTACTTTATTACTATTATCATTATTATTCTGATCTGATTGACTAAAACCATGTATAAGCTAGTCAATTCATGCCTCAAGACAGTAGAAAGTATGCGTGTATTTAGTGGAATTGTGGCTGGCTGACAGTGTATGTATCCAACTGCCAATGAATCGATTAGGCGGGTAAACATCGTCCCACTTACCAAGGTTTTGGGCAAACAGGTGGATATCGCCTGCTCTTACACTGTAGAGGTTACATATATGTATATATATTGATAAGTCTGCGAGCTATATTCCTTTTGTAGGTATTCGCTGCCAGGTTTTCGCTAACAATGCAGTCATTTCAGCGACTCAGGGATTGACTTGTTACCATCAGGGAATAATAGTCTCGTTGACTTAGAATATGCAGATGATATAGTCCTCCCTGCTAGGTGAAGACGCTGACACCTTGAGGAGCATCAATATTCGAATGTTTGGCATGAGATTCACTCCTGCTGTCAAATGTAAGATGATGCTGCAGGATTGGATTGGACTGGACTACATCAACTTGTAGCTTAGAGATAGGCAGGAGTGAGGTGGCAGAGCATGTTGACCACTTCACTTATTTGGAGAGTTGCATCTGCCAGCTTCAGTGGGTTGATCGCTGACGAAATCTTACCACGAATACAGAAGGCTTGCTTGGCATATGCTCACTAACTGATGCCATTTCTGGCTTAAGAGACGTGATATTCGACTGGCTGGTTGGCTGTCAACCAAAGGGCGTGTGTACTGCACTGCAGCAGTTCGCTCTATCCTCCTTTATGTCTGGTTGCGAGACATGGGCAGTGAAAGTAGAAGACACAAAATAGCTAGCTGTCTTTCACCATAGGTGTTTGCATTGTATCTCCCGTGTTAAGTGGTGGTATAAGAAAGTGAGAAATATTGAGGTTAAGCATTGGTTAAGTGCTAGGCGAGTTGGAGGGGAAATCAATCGACGAGGTTGTGAAGTTACGCCGATTAAGAGAGGTGGTTAAGACATGTGTTACGCATGCGCCCCTATCCACTGGCTTGCTCGACAGGCAATGTTGGCTGATATAGGATGGATCAAGTTGAAAAAGAGCTAGCCAGTGGTGGTCGAAAGAAAACATGGCTTCATTAGTCAATGCAATCCATAACAGTTAGTTTAAGCCAGCCACGTAGGAAGGTGTAGACTTCCCGCCTACCTGGTTGTTGTCTTCAGGATTGTGAGAACTGATGAAGGCTGGAAACAATTAGTGATATGGCTGGCTCAAAATCGTTCTCAGTGGCTCGCGCAGATGCATTCACTCTTTGTGATTTATAATATCCAACAAACTCTGATTTTCTTCTATATTACTATTCTTTTTCCCTCACTCACACTTTTGTTTATTATCTTTCTTTACTGTGTTCTCTTGCTTTGTGTGCTAGATGGAAGGAGTGTGGCAACTGGAATTACTGCAAATCTGTGCAAAGTTCTACGTTGAAACCAGTCAGTCAGTCAACAACGCAGTCATTGTGTTCGTTACAAGCTGAGTTGAACATGAATATGTCTGACCGAGTTTCACCATAGAACTTTGCACAGAACTGCATCAGTTCAAGTATTGTCACACCTCATGTACACCATAAAAAGGTAGAGAAGGGAAAGGCAGAAGAGACTGAAAAGAACTATAACAAGCAGAAATGTGCAGGAAAAAATGCTAAAAGAGAAAAACATGATGGTTCAGTGGGTATGTCTGGTAGATGTTACGATAAGAGGGAATGCAACTTTATCACCATTGAGAGTAATTTTGATTCATAACAGCAATAGTCTCAAACCATTGCTTCTTCTCATCTCAAGCATCTCAATCAGACAGCTGCATCAGACAGTTTACACCTTCTAAACTGTCAGAGATTTCATGAATTGATGTCAGCTCTTAATTTGATCACTCCTAATTCCCTTTTCCAACTTAATCGTATGTGTCGGCTGACATTTTCCGTTGAGGAAGGCAGTGACTGGGCGTGCGTATCAACTGATGTAACTTCACAACAAAGTCACTGATGGGAATTATAGTCTCTGAGGCAAATGTAGAAAGTAATTCTGCGAATGTTTTTCAGTTTTCCCCTCTACATCTTATAGTGTATTATTTGTGGAACCCCACCAACCACGCACGTGGCTGGAGTTTGATCCCCTACCGACATACTCCTTAACCTCGCCTGACCGGTAGTAAGCCCGGTAATGAGGGGGAAAGTTTGGGGTATGGGGCTAGCAACCCCACCCCTTGAAAACTAGACACCATAGCTACTGAGACTCCGAGGTCTCTTGGAACGCAAACGAACGGAAAAATCAACCGTCAGTTAGCCTTAAGCGTACTGCGATACAAGCAGGGTGCTGGACTAATAGGTTATTACATTCTTACTTTTCTGATGGGGGGGGGGGCGGGGTCTTTCACAGTTTCACTTACTCTAGTTGGTGTTCCTCACTTAAGGCACCATTCTTTTTCCTTTATTCTTACATGACGCCCCATTCTGATGAAGCCAATTTCCTTAAGGATGCTGATGGTCTCACTGTTTCTATGCCCGTTACGCGTCATTCAGCATTGTTCCAAAATGAATAACTTTTTATCAGGAATTATTCAGTGGTTCTTGTCAAATGGTCTGAAGCTAAATCGCTCCAAATATCCGGGTGTTAATTTCATTTTCAGACGGACGCAAGAGAGACTTACATGATCTGGTTAGTTTGCACGGTTCCACTATCATAGATGGCAGAGAGGTTGAAACTAAGTTGAATGTTAAACATCTGTTCTTCCCACAGCATGTTAGTTTCTAGAAAGATATTTGCGTTTGACGTTCTGTGTAAGAAAGTTAGGACGATCTGGTATCATTCCGCGTCTGCTTTTACAGTTTGTTAACTCTTGTATTCTACCTGTCCTTCTTTACTGTTCTCCCTTAATCTTTCCTGGGCTACATAAGCCAGACTTTGTTACACTGCGAAGGGCACCAAAAGCTGTCAGTAAGGTGAATGGAGTGTCGCTAAACCAACTCATTAACACTGTAATAGACACATAGACTCATGCAAGAAGCTAGCTATTATTATTATATCAGACTCTGAACATCCTCTCCATACACAACTCTCTTCTTGCTGCATCTCATCGGGTGGAACTAAGAGCAAATATAGAAGATTATATACTCGGACGATGAAGTATAGAAACTCTACCATACCTTGGTTACAAGATTTCATCATGAGATGACATCAGTTAGAGAACCATTGGAAAACCATCACGTAGTACTGGACAGCTGTTTCGTCAGCCTGGTTTGGGACTCTTCATCAGTACGCACCCACCCCTAGGGTTCGAACCCAGTACCTTCTGGTTACAAGGCTAGCGAGCTCATAGACCATTAATCCACTGGGACCAGATCAAATGGCCAGTCCATGAATTCTAACTTCCGCCAATTCACGATATAGCGCAACCGCTAGCAAATGTCTTCGGTGAGTATTTTTCCTCACACCCGACCTGCTGCACCTTACTGGTCATGACTCAATATGGCCTTGTAACCAGAAGGTTCTGGGTTCGAACCCTAGCGGTGGATGCGTGCTGATGAAGAGTCCCACTCCGAGGCGAAACAGATGTTCAGTACTCCCAGGTTTTCCAATGTTTCTCTAACCAATGTCAGCTAATGATGAAATCCTGTAACCAGTCAATCAAATCCGTACAAACCAATACTTGAATATCTACCATACCTTATTTGGCATCTATTTTATATGATGAGAAAAGTGTAAGGAGAAACACTCAATAAACAGTCCTCTTTTTTCAATATTATATTGTTGTTAATATTTTTACTTAATTTAATTTTATACTAATATTCGTATTTAACAAAATTATCAATGTATATGGCCTGTTTTAATTATTGAGAAGATTAATTAATGAGAAAATTAGATGCAATATTGCAATATTACCTGCTGAAAATTCCATATTTGTACCAAAAGTACTATTTGGAATAAACCGATCATAGATTGTTACTACTAGTGTAGTGAGAGCTGGATGCTAGCCAAAATTGGTAGACAGTAATTTACGTCAATGTTTATATCCCCGATATTGGTCATGAGAAAAATAAAAACAAAGACTGACTCAACAACCAATCACAACAGACTTTGTTTGCGTAGTCGGATACAATTTGCAGATAGATAATCTGAACTTCAACAAACGGCCACAAAAAGATGAAAGATTAACGTTCAGCGAGAAACCACCGATCAGAAGACTGTGTTTGTTTGCTAACAATAATCTATAATAATGTACATGAAAATCTATAAATATGTGTTGATTTTCCTTAATAAACGATCTGTTTCTTGGCCCTTGTCTTTTGTCGTTACACTATTACTTGCTTTTCGAGGCAACTCTAAACTATAGCAGCCCAAACCGAAACTACCTAGCGAATGTGTAAACTAAAAACGAACGACATACCTTCCCGAACTGATTTTCTTGTTCGGCACTCATTTCACCAATAAACAAACCCGTCGATGCACCTAGTGCATCTTTGTATACGCATGACACCTCCACATTGCCAAATTTTCGACCTTCCAATCAGTCCGTTCTCCAAACAGTAATCAAAAACCAGATCTGGAGCGAATTTGCAACGCAAAAGGTGTAGAGCATCCATAATTACCTCTGGATAAAACAGTCACCTTACTGGCTGCTCAAGGTCATTTGTCCGTTCGCTGGGTAGTTTTGGTTTGGCTGCTATAGTTTAGAGCTGCCCTTTTCGACGAAGTCATCAACTAGGCTGTACATTCGTGTATTTATATTAAATGTGTGAGAAAGTTCCAGAATTATTTCCGGTTGGAGGCCAGATTAATAAAATTACAAAGTGTAATAAACAGAGGATAGGTAGGTAGTGGCACTATTCTAGAAATGTTTCAGGCCAAAGGTCAAAATAAAAATTCCAATGTGTAATAATCAAGAAGATCGGATAGAAAAGAGAAAATAGGATTATGATTACTGGAAAACTCGTCAGTTTGAATAATTATGGGTTAAGGATGTAGTGTTAACGAAGTGGGTAGGAGGTTCGGACATATAAAAATAAAAATAGTAACCAAATCTAATAATGCAGATAGCGATTTAAAAATAAACGGGAAGGTTGAACAAGAATGGCGATAGGATAATCATTATTGGTGAGACTGACTTTTTATGATGTCCACGGTAGGGACAATGGTTGGATGTATTTCTTCTGGACACATAGAATAGGCTTGAGTTTTTGTATAGCCAGTGCCTCAGCTATTCCTAGATGTCTTGATTCCACTCCCTTTGATATGTTGGATAGGATCTTGTATATGGCTTTGAAGGACTTTTCAAATGGAGCTGAATGTCCAGAATTCTCACCAGATGTTCTGTTATCGAACTGTATACCCCTTTTTGCGTTCTCCCTTTGCTAACCATGCTGGATAGTGTTCCCGCACGCGTTTTACAAGCGGACGCATGGTACGGCCAATGTGGGTGAGTAGTTTCTTGCAGGAGAATGTTATTCGTAGGCTGGCGGCGAAGTATGTTTTACTGAGAGACTTCGAAAGAAGTCTACAGAGAATTTCTGCTTCAGTATTATCACTTTTGAATTCCAGGTTCACTATCAGCATCTTTTTACATTTACTTTTCATGTTCTTGTTTTGTAGGTAGTCGGTGAGAATAACTTGCGTTCAACAACACTGGCTAATTTGGGTATTATTCATGGTTCAGCCTTATTACAACTGAATATTGTCCCATACACTGGAGAAGATAATCCACAGTCACAACGTTCTGTACCACCATGTGAGCCTACCACCACCACCACTTCGACAGACATTATTAGTAAGAGTAATAAAATTGATGAAAGTATGGAACAGATTTCAAGATCAAAGGGTGCTGTGATGAATCAAGAAATAGTATTACACAAAGAAGTGCATAAAATTGATGATGATGAAGAGGTTGGTGAGTCTTATTCTTGTTATATGAGTACTTTGAAAGAAAGTTGTAGAAGGCAGTCATGGGGTGAATACAATCTCACCGAATTTTGGCGATATTAAACCCCAATTAGCAACTTCATCGAATCATAGAGTGGAAAGTAATACTTATTATAATAGTTCTGATAAGAAGCAGGAAATAAGTGAGTTTTTACAGTAATTTGTGTGTGTGCTTCTCCTATCATTTCGATTGATTGTTATTTTCATTATCATATCTGCGTGTACAGAAACATAAAATTATGGCAACTGGTCTTACGCACTATCCCCATTTCTATTCAATTTCATCATAGATGTAATGAGAGAATTAACCGTAACTCTCTTCAGAAACTCCGGGATTGACTTGTTACCATCAGGGAATAATCTCATTGACTTAGAATATGAAGATGATATAGTCCTCTCTGATAGGTGAAGACTGACAAAATCCAGCAGAGTCTTCTGAACACCTTGAGCTGCAATCTTCGAATGTTTGGCATGCGATTCGCTTCTGCTGTCAAATGTAAGATGATGGCACAGGACTGGACTACACTAACTCCTAGCTTAGAAATAGTGAGTGAAGTGGTAGAGCACGTTGACCGCTTCACTTATTTTGGAAGTTTTGTCAGCCAACACTAGCGGGTTGATCGGTGCGTCGGTGGCACAGTGGTTAGGACTCTCGCCGACCATGCACATGGTCCAGGGTTCGATCCCCTGCCGACGCACACCCGATATCTATGGTCGGCGTGCAAATTTGGGCTACCGATATCCATGCTGAAAATTCCATACTTGTACTGAAGATACGGTGTGGAATCAAGCTGTAATCAAAAATAAATAAAAAAAATCTCAGCAAGGGTACAGAGAGCTCGTTTCATATGCATTTCCTCTATAAATCGGATTGCAAATTTGATGGAGTGATTGCAGGAATCCGTTAAGCGTTTCAATTTTCTGTATAATTCTTTGGATAAATTGTATGTTGGGGTTCCTGGGAGTGATACAATTGGTCGTAACATGATATTCGGTGTGTGTATTTCAGGCCTGCCGTAGAATCAGGGTAGAACTGGTTCTACCAGTACTAGCAGTGTGATCCAGAATACGCATTTCCTCTTATGTACCTGCAATCCTCAGTGAGTAATAACGGTGTTCCCACTGCGACTCGAACCCAATGTACCTTTGGTTTCAGACGCCAAAGCGTTATCCACTAGACCGCTTTGACCAGCTCCACAAGTGTATATTCAAGCTGCTGCAGTGAGAGATTGCAGGCAATCCTGGACTCAGATGAAGAGGACAGCAGAAAATAGAAAAAAGTGGAGATGTGTTGTTGAAGCCCTATGTTCCACTCGGAACCAAAGGGACCAGCTAGGAAACTAGCAAGCCAGTAAACTAGGCAAGGCTGAAACAAGCATAAAGTTATTGCAAAATATTAGTATATATATATATATATTAAGAGCGAATTTTCTCGTAAAAAATGAACGATTTCGCTATGCTGTGTCAGCTAACATTGCTGTCAACAAGGAAGGTAGGTAGTTGGCTCAGCATGCACAATACATGTCCTAGCCATTTTAATCGATGTAACTTCCTAACGTCATCGCCACCTAACACTCTACTTTTAAGCTCAATTTCACTTACCATACTATGCCGCTTAACACAGGAAATAGAACCAAAATATTTGTGGTCAAATACAGCCAGTCTCTTCAGGTCTCCCACTTTCAACAGCCATATCTCACAACTATAAAGAAGGATAGTGCGAACTGCTGTGCTGTGCAGTATACACACATGTCCTTTGATCGATAATAGCCAGATATCATGTCTACTCCAGAGACGAAGTAAATTAGCAACTACCACATGAGTCTTTTTTATTCTCACTGGGATTTCATCCAGCAACTAGTCAAATGAGTGAAGTGTTCAACACTGTGAACCTCATCACTGTCTGTCTTCAAAATAGAGGAGTCGGTGCAGACTAGTCCTACATAATCACCTTATATTGTATTTTATATGCAAGTTCAATACTCAAAAACTGAAGGACACAACCACAAAGGACACTTTCACTGCAACTGTCAGAGCAAAGCAGGAAACACTACGTGGCATCACTGAGGAATCAAGCGTGGAAGACCATTGGAACTCTCTGAAGGTGATTTTCAACGAAACGTGTTCAACGATTTTAGGAAGAAAGAAAAGACAAGACAGGAAATGGCTCTCAACGGACACTTGGAAGCTAATAGAAGAGAGGAGAATGGCGAAAGAGAAAATGATTCAATGCAAAGATGGACAAGAGAAGGAGACGCTGAGTTCAAACTACACAGCACTGGACGAAGAAGTGAAGAAGAGTGCCAGGAAGGATGCAACACAATTCTGCGACAATCTGGCCACTGAAGCTGAGAAGGCAGCAGGCAAAAGGGACCTGAGGACACTATATCAGATAACCAATTCTCTATCCGGGAAGAGATCAACACAAGTGAAACCTATAAAAGGCAGTCAAGGGAACCCAATTACCAAGGAAGAAAGACAGATTAAACAATGGGCGGACCACTTCAAAGGACTCTTGAACCGATCACCACCTACAACCTGTCCAGAAATACCAACAACGGCACGTACACAACTGCAAGTTGACACCGATCCCCCAACGAAAGCTGAAGTCATGAATACAATCAAGCTTTTGAAAGCTGGAAAAGCAGCTGGACCAGATGGAATACCCCCTGAAGCACTGAAAGCGGACCCAGAGACGACAGCAGATATGCCGAAAGGGAAGCGGCGAGTGGGACGTCCAAGGGTGACATGGAGGAGATCGTGTGAAGAGTAGTTGAAACAGTATGGACTAACATGGATGCAGGTGAAAAGTACAACAGAAGACAGAAGCAAGTGGAGACGTGTTGTTGAAGCCCTATGTTCCACTAGGAACCCAAGGGAACAATAATAATAATGTTCAAAGAACTGTTTAATTAATTGTTTTTGTCTCTTTCTTTCAGCTGCTATGGATGAAGATACCTTCTCAGGCTTTGTTTCACCATTCAGTGTCTTCTCAGATCGTCCATCAGTTTCTGCATTTGCTAATGTTGGTCAAATGGAATCGACTCATTGTCCATCTGTTGAACAAGAGAGAAGGGTAAGTTCATTTCTGATATGATGATGATGTGATGTACGATGATGGATGGTGGGAGGCTCGATTTTTGTTTTCCATTCATTTATTCCATTCTGAGTGGAACATAGAGAGATTCAGGCGTTGAGCTTTAAAGTTTCAACAGCGTTTGTGTTGTTTTTTTATCGGGTGGGGTTGTTATCCTCACACCGAACCTTCCCTCTTTTCCGGGTCTACTCATCACTACCATACTAGTCGAGGTCTGGAAGGAGTGTGTTTGCCGAGAATCCAATCTGATATAACAAACATTGGTAATAATGCTGTGCGAGTAGGACTCTATACGGCGAAGCAATAAGTAAACCGTCTGAATACCGAATACCAAATTCTGATAAACGGTCACTTCTGCTTCACCCCCCCCCCCAACTCCCGCAGAGTCTAAGTAAATAAACTTAGAAGATAGACTGATCTGAGCTGATGAGAACATTCGAGTTTATCATACAGAAAGAAATACATTAAAAGCATATATAAATATTAGCAATCTCAGGAAGTTAAGCCAACAAATAACCAATCAAATTGGTTGTCCAAGGTCGAGCTCCAAGCTTGTCCAATCATATTGTGATAATTCTTCCAAGTGTTAGTTTGTAGGGATTGGATCGATTTCAAGCTTGATCACGAAATGACTTTGGTTTGAGAATCATTAAAAAAACCAGGTAGTACTGGACAGTTGTTTCATCCCTGTTTGGGACTCTTTTTCACAGTACTCACCAAATGACCCCACTGGGGGGGGGCAAGGTCTTTGACTGTTCAGTCACTATACTGGACTGAAATTTAATGGTCGTGGATGAATTTTAACTTCGCACACTTCTGATACTCGCACAAGATAAAGTTGCCTAAAGTTGTAGTGAGAAGTTATGACCAGTAGGGTCCGCCAAATACATTGGTCCTCCCAGTTGGGGGTGCTGCACACGGTGATGAATCTATAAGCCTGTTAGATTTCATCTCTGTTACTAATTGGTGGAATGGCCTTGCCTGGTATCCTGAAAGTTCTGGTTTTTATCCTCGATAGAGAGTCATGGGTGTGTACTGATGAAGAGTCCAATAGTTAGAACAAGACAGCTGTCGAGCATTCCCTGCTGGTTTTCAGAGAGTACTTTAACCTATTGAACAGGTTTCTCTAGGTGTATTCATCCATTATTTTAGCGTTAATAGCTCATTTCACTTTGCAGTTGGTTAGAACTGTTACTCGAAGTGGATTTCATATGTGTGGAGGAGGTGTGGCTCACTCGTGTATGTGGGTTAACTTCTAATCATTATTATTAAGTCATAGATTCGAACCACATCCCACTTATCAAGGCTTGAGTAACCCTCTCTTAGTATCACTAGTCCTTACTGTATAGATATAGCTTATTGCCAACTGTGCATAGAATTTCGGTTGGTTGTTAGCCACATTTGTGTACCACAGTTCGACTGCTGATACAGTGGTGTGTGGTACTGACAAGAATTATCAGCAGTAGTATATAGATGCAGATTGATAGGAAGTAGCCAAAACTGAAAATAACATTTTAAGTCAATGGCTACAAAAGTAGAAACGTTTATTTCTCTAATGCGGACCGAGCTTACTTTGTGCTCAGGATATGAGCTGACGTTTTAACCTTCAGAAAATCAGCAGCCTATCAGAACAGTTTTATTCAAGTGTTGGGTTGGTTTCAGGATCACATCATGAACTTACATCGATTAGAGAGGACCATTGAAAAACCTGGGAGTACTGGACATCTGTTTTGCCCTAGTTTGAGACTCTTCAGCAGTACGCACCCACCGGGGTTCGCACCAAGGACCTTCTGGTTACAAGGCGAGCTCACAGACCATTCAGACATGGGACCCGTTCCAATGACCAGTCCATGAATTCCAACCTCTGCCGATTCATGGTATGGTGCGACTGCTAGGGAATGTCATCGGCGGGAACTCCATCCCCATTCCCGACTGGATGAACCGCACTGATCACGACTTCCTACTAGGACCCAGGTAACTACTTACCTGAATAGGACGAGGGCGAGTCACTAGTGAAGCATCAGATTGATATTCAAGTGTTGATTTGCAGCAAGGATTTGATTGGTTTCAGGATTTCACCATGACCTGAACAATTTTAACCTTGAGAGAATCAAGCAACCAATCAGAACAGTATATTCTCCTCTGATCTAGCCAATCATAAATGTGGTGTGATTTTCCTCAAAATAGAAAGAAGTTCCGTTACACCAAGTCTGTTGTCTTCTCCTGTTGTTACAGTACCACCCAGGTGTTTAGGCTGTTCTTTGCATGTATTAGTTTTTGCTAATATTGTATAGTCTTATAAATGACATATTATATCATTTTCTTTATTTATAACACTCTCCTCCTCCTCCTCCTCCTACACACACACACACACACACACAACTTTTTAGCCCCGAACGCTGGGTGAAATTTTAGGCATCAACTTAGAGACAACATCATCATCACAATTTCGCTACAATGAACCACAATCATCCATCCATCCATTTCATCAATTCAAAGTAAGTTTCTCAGTTTTATTTCTTTACCTCTCTTGTTCGTTATATATATCAGTTAGAGAACCATTGAAAATCATGGAGTACTGGACAGCTGTTTCATCCTAGTTTGGGAATCATCGGCAGTACGCACCCACTGACAGGGGTCGAACCCAGGACCTTCCGGTTACAAGGCAAGCTCGTATGCTATTCACCCACTGTGACCCGATTCAATGACCACTGCATGAATTCTAACTTCTACCAATTCGTGATTCAGCGTGACCCTGACTATTGTCGTCGGTGGGAGATACATCCTCACACGTGATATCTGGATGGACCTCACTGGTCACGGCTTCTCACCAGTATACGAGCTTTCTTTGTAACTGGAAGGTCCTGGGTTCAACCCCTGTCAGTGGGTGCGTACTGCCGGTGATTCCCAAAACTAGGATAAAACAGCTGTCCAGTACTCCCTGATTGGTTTTCAATGGTTCTCTAACTGATATCAATCCGTGATCAACTCGTAGAAACAAAACTAACCCTTACAAGTGAAACGATAGAAAAAAAATAAATATGTATGTATAACGAAAGAAGACAAGATCCAGATAACAGATCGTTTATTTAGAAAATTAAGAGATATTTATAGTTTTTTATGTACATTATTGTCAGAGGAGAAGCAACGTCTTCTGATTGGTCGTTTTCTTACTGAAGGTTATTCTGTAATTGCTTTTGTGAACGTTTCTGAGACAGTTAAGCCGTATATCTGTGAATCATATTTGCACACGTTAAGTCCGCTGTGATTGTTTGGTGATTTTCTCAAGATTGAGCTTTGTTATTGTTTTTTTCTCATGACCCTGATTCGGGAGGTGAACATTGACGTAAATTGCTGTCTACATTTTTGGCTAGCTCGTAGCCAGCTCTCACCACGTATATATATATGCATATATATATATATAATTCCCCTAGGTTAGGAGTGGAACGTGGAGCTTCAGCAGTACATCTCCGTTTCACTCTGTTCTCTGTAGTTTCTGTTTTTTTTACCTGGCTTCACGATTGTCAATAAGTTTTGGTGCAGCAGTTCGTTTTCCCACTGTCCCTCCATGTAGCACACAAAGCAAGAGAGGAGATTAGGTAAAGAGAGATTCAAAAGAGGGAGAGAGAGAGATAATAAACAGAAGTGTGAATGTAGCAAAAACTATAGTAATATGGAAGAGCAATAGAATTTTATTGAACATTATAAATCACAAGGAATAGTGAATGCATCTGCGCCAGCCATCACTGAGAACGATGAGTTTGAGCCAGCCATATCACCAATTCTCTTCAGCCATTGTTTCCTAGCATTTTGGGGACCTCAGTCAGACAGCCTACATCTTCGCTCCTGCCAAATGTAAGATGATGTTACAGGACTGGACTACATTGACTCCTAGCTTAGAAATAGGGAGTGAAGAAGTAGAGTGCGTTGACCACCTCACTTATTTGGGAAGTTGCATCATCCAAGCCCCAACAGGTTGATCGCCGACGAAATCTCTGCACGGATACAGAAAGCTAGTTTACGCTGTCTCTGGCGTAGACGTGATATCCGGTTGGCTGTCTACTGAAGGGCAGTCCGCTCTGTCCTCCTTCATGGTTGTGAGACCTGGCCATTGAGAGTGGAGGACATGAAAAGGCTAGCTATTTGTCTCTGATCATATGTGTCTGCGTCCTATCTCCCGTGTGAAGTGGTATAATGTGGTGAGGAATATTGTTAGGCTCCGGTCGAGTGCTAGGTGAGTTGGAGGGGAAATCAATCGACGAGGCTGTGAAGTTGCATCCACTGAGATGGTTAGGACATGTGCTATGCATGCCTGCCTAGCCATCGCATTCCTCCACAATGAGCAATGTTGACTGACATAGGATGGATTTGGGTGAAAAAAAGCTAGCCAGTGGTGGTGAAAAGAAAACATGGTTTCATCAGTCAATGAAATCCACAAAAGTTAGTTTAAGTCACATAGGAAAGTGTAGACTTCCTGGTTGGGTTCCTCGGGACGGTGAAAACCAATGACAGCTGGAGACAATCGGTGATATGGCTGGCTCAAAATCGTCGTTCTCAATGGCTGGCGCAGATGCATCAACTCCTTGTGATCTATAGTATCCAATAAAACTATATGGTCCTTCGATATTACTATTCTTTTTGCCTCATATCTCTGTTTACTGTCTCTATTTTGCATTTCTTTTTACTTTCTTCTCTGGCTTTGTGTGCTGAGTGAAGTGTGGCAACTCGAACTGCTGCTGCACATCGGTGCAAAGTTCTATGTTGAAACCAGACCAGAAACATCTTCTTACATGAACCAAACTAACTGTCAAAGGCTTCATAGACTGACCAACGCTAACGTTTTTCCAACCCAATGCTCAACGAAGAAGGAATGTGGCTTGGTATGCGCAACACATCTCCTAGCCATCTGTATCGATGTAGCTTCACAAGTTTATCGGCTGATTTGTTTTATGTGTTTACCTGTTTATTGAGATGTTGCCTTGTAGATCTTGTAGAATCACTTCCTGATATCCTGTAAAATTTGTGTGTGCGTGTGTCGAATAATGATAATAATTATTATTATAATGATGTCGAATTTTCTTATCTTCGTTTTAAGTTCCCCACGGAAACTGAAGGTGAAAATTTAAACTCAAAAATGTAAGTGCGCTGTGTTTTTGTCTTTGTTGCCTTTCTTTTATACTGTTTATATGCGATTTCTTTTGCGTTTGACTGTCTTGTTTACTAAATGACCTGGTACGGTCAAAGGTGGGTGTACTTCAGTTTTCCTGTTGAAATGTTCTCATGTGGTGAAACGCCTTCATAGCCTCTGTCAGATAAGTTCTATTCACTGCTATCACACTGTGGCTTGGGTGTTCCTCACATAGAAGTGTAGACGTGAGTGCGAATATCTGGCGCTTACAACCGGACTGGTGGTGGACATGTAGATCTATCTACTAGGGTAGGTGGACAACCCTGATTGCAAACCAATACTGTACATTTGCTCCAGAATCCGGACACATCGAATGACGTATGTACCTGATTTGGTTACCGGAAACCATGGGAACACGTATCTCCTGACTTGTGGATCTGATGTGAAGTCTGTGGCTCAGCAGTGGGAGATGTTCCCTTAAGACACAACCACCTGTTTCGGTTTTTGTGTTCAAATTTTAGGTATCCCACATCTTTTGGTACCCATTAAATACCCAGATTTTTAGCCGACACTTTCCTTACAAAACTTGAGAATGGGCCTTTGAAAGATGTAATATTGACGAACTAGAATTCTACTGTCAGTATATGGATGATACATTTTTGATTATGAAAAACGAGGATGAAGCAAAGAACATCCTGGACAAATTTAACGATGTTCATCCTGCAATAAATTTTACCATCGAGAAAGAAAGAGACTCTAGTATTCCATTCCTAGACGACGTCCTTATGACTAGAAAAGAGGATGGTACAATAAGACGAAGTGTATATAGAAAACCTACACCAACTAACTGTCAGTATACTCATTTTTTCAGCTTTGTGCCTCTGAAATATACAAACACAATCTAACAAAGTGCTTATCACAACCAGTCAGTAGTGTGTAGTTTTACGCATTTATGATTACTTTCTTGATCACCATTCATGGTATCAATGTCATCGGCGGCAAGTATTTATCCTCACTTCCGACCGACATAATGGACCCCACCGCAGGTCACAACTGCCCACTCCAGTACTGCTTATTTTCAATGATTCCCCGAATGATATCAATCCGTGGTCAAACTGTAACAAATCAAATCACTACAAATGAACTCTTGAAAATAAATGATTAATTGGAAGTGGCGGGGGCTAGGGTGATATTTGACAGGATAACTGGGAGGGATAGATTATAGAACGCAGAATCAGGAACATAAATAGATCTTAGAATATCATAATTTGTAGACAGTCTCCATTTTTAAACAATTTTACGACTTTTATTGCTCATTGATTCCCTAACTAGTTGATCGAGATCAGTGATAAGGGTCAATTAGGTTTGGGGGTGGAGGTGGGGCGGGTTAGACTACTATATATAGTTTAACTATGCCGACGTCATACACACACTTTACTTTGCGATAGTCGATAATATACTGAACATTTTTTTCTAACAGTTTTATTTCATCAATTCTTTCATAGATTTTTCAATTTACTTTTTAACTCTTTAGTTCGGATTCTGAAGCGAAATCATCTTCAGATAATACCATAGATCGTGAAGTGATTGTATTTCGTCGACCAACTAAAGCGGTTACCAAGAATGGTGAGTGAAGATTTATTTATTTATAAGAGTAGAATTATATTGGCACTACAGTAGGACATAATTTCATGTTAGATAAGTCTATCATGCGTCGGTGGCACAGTGGTAGAATGCTCGCCAACCACGCCGCATGTGGTCCGGGGTTCGATCCCCGGCCGACGAGGCACTCCTTTACCTCGCTAAGTCAGTCAGTAATCAGACTGGTAAAGAGGTAAGGTTGGGCATGAGGTGGCTAGCAACCCCATCCCGTAGAAATAAACACCACTGCTACCGAAACTTCAAGCCTCTAGCTTGAAGCTCTACGTCCCAATGGGAACGTGAAGGAATAAAAGGATCCCTTTCTGGCTGATTTCTTTCTAAGTAAGCTAGAAAATGGACCTCTGAACAACCTTATCAGTAAGCTCTCATTTTATTGCCGATATATGGATGGCACCTTCATACTTTGTGATAATGGTTCTGATAGGAGTACAATAATTACTGAATTCAATGAAGTACATTCGGCTATTAAATTCACGTGCGAAGAGGAATCCCAAGACAGAATTGCCTTCATGGATGTCCTACTTACAAGAAAACCAGATGGTAGCATAAAAAGAAATTTACATAGAAAAAGCACTTGAACAGGACAATATACACATTCTCACAGCTTCGTTCCTCTCAAGTACAAAAGAAATTTTGTGAAGACCCTCAGCCACAGAGTAAGAGCTATATTCTCAGAATAAGTAATTGAAAATGAACTAAGCATTGTATATGATACATTGACTGAAAATAGCTATCCCGACAATATTATCAAGAAACACAAGACGAAGAAAGCAGAAAAGGACTATTCTCCATCTGTAAATAAGAAGCCTTTATACATACGACTGCAATTACGAAGAAATTAAGAAAATCAGTTCAAAGAACTTTCAATTCTGGCGAACTACATGTCTTATTCTCTACACGACCGATGGTGCTACCTCGAATGAAAGATGAAGTACCTAGACTAGCTAGTCACTTCTAATTGTGTCTACCAATTCAACTGCGCTTGTGGAGCGAGTTATATTGGCCGTTGCTCTAGGGACTTGGTCTTTCTTGCTGGTTCAGGAACATCTACCAGTATGGCTAAGTAAAGGTGTAGTGGAAACCACTAACATTTCGATATTGGACCATCTGGTGCAAACCGGCCACAAAGCCAGCCAGCGTGGAAGAATCCTTCTCTATCATCTACCGGGAGCCTAATAAATTACCAAAATCATCGAAGCACTGCATCCTCCAAACAGCAGAGGCTATTGCAATCCGCCTCAAACAACCAGTGCTCTGTGTTCAAAAGAAGCAAGTCCAGCTAACCCCTACTTCTGCCCTGGCCTTCAGTAGAAACTATAAATTCATGAATTTGAAACAATATTATCTTTCCAAATTTTTCTGAAATTCAGCATATTTTATGTTGATTCTATTCAGCTGTAATCTATCAATATTACTGATTCGATGTTATTTAAACAACATTAATGTTGTTCATAACACTAATTCATTCATTCATTCACTTTAATGTGTGTATAACTGTAGAGCCTGATGAAGAAGGCGTTATCGAAAGGAGTACTCTTTGTTCAGTATCCATTCTTTTGAAAAATATTTTAATGGGCATTTTTAATCAGTTCGAATAAAAAAAAGTCTATCATATATAACACAAACAATGAAGGATACATTGTCGACTTCTTTGACCAATCGATGTTTGCATTCTGTCTCTCCCATATTAAGTAGTATTATATGGTGAGTTATATTCAGGTTAGGCATAGAGTGCTAGGTAACGAAGGGGAAAGTCAATCGACGAGGTTTTGAAGCTGCGTTAATTGAAATGGCTAGCACGTGTGTTTCGTCTTCCTCGACGAAACAATGTTAGCTGACATAGGTTGATTAGTTTGGTAAAGACTTAGGGGGGGGGAGGCGGTCAAACCAAAACCTGACACCAATCTATGAAGACTTTCACTGTTGCATCTGCGTCTCTGAGAATGATTTTGAATCGTATGTTTGGTTCTTAGCATCTTGAGGATCCCAACCAGGCAGTCTACACCTTCAACAGTCAAAGACTTGATTGGTTGAAGCTGGTTGACGAAGGTGATGTCTTGGCATGTGTAACGATGAAGCTTTACAACTTCATCGATTAACTTGCCCTTCTTACCTAATATTCTACGCTTAGCTTGATTATTACTCACCGTATTATACTGATACTGTATTAATAACTCGATGGTGTTTGGGGCATAATCTATAGCTTGATATGACCTGAGTTTCGTGTCTGTTTACACTCTATGTGCGCGAGGCTTGTTGTGCAGTCCTGACTAAGTTAATATCTATCTTTCTTGTAGTCCGTTAGTTGGTTGTCGTGTAAGTAGTTTAAAAGAAAAGCCTGTAAATTTTATACTAAATGATGCATATTCATATCCTGAAGGTTATGTGAGCTTCTTTAAGTTTCTAGATATACCTTGCTGATGAACACCAATCAGGGCGAAACTTAGATCGAAGGTTTCTTGATAACCCAAGCCAAATACTGTTCCCATGGAACTCTTCTTCACTTCCACCTTCAAGGTTCTTACAAGATCCGCACCTGTGGTTGCTTCACCTAGGCTTACGCTTGAAGCTTCCTGCTAGCCACAGTGACCTTCCTACTCGTCGCCACCACTGCATTCCTGCACCAAGTCAGTTTGCCCTCACCCTGCTTAGGCCCAGCTTGCAGCAGTGGTACGGTATAGGTTCAACACTCTCGCGTCATTCAGTTTCAGGGCTGGTTGATTCAGCAGGTGGTTTGTTACACACTCCTTAGCGGTTTTCGACATCAATGGCCACCGTCTGCTGTCTGCATCAACCAAAACCTTTTCTGGTATCTCATGACCGTCGCGTTAGACACGTTAACCGCATGTTTGGTGCATCCCACAGCGCCGTTTCTTATTTCACTTTGAATTCCTTTGCATTCTGAGTAGAACAGAGTCTTTGAAGTTTCAGTAGCTGTGGTGTTGTGTTATTTTTACAGTCGGGGTTGCTAGCCGCACAGTCAACCTTACCTCTTTCCGAGCTTACTGTCAGCTAAGTGAGATTAGTGAATGCGTCAATCGGGAATTGAAACCGTATCTGCTGTTTCAACATGTAATATCGAGTTGAAATGGAAGGACGCATCAGTGTCGAATCACTTGGCTTTGGTGATCACATTCCTAACCATCTAGCTACCTATTCGCACTTTCCTATTTATACTTTCGTATTCACTGTCTTCACGAAAGTGAAAAGGTGAATGTGAACATCTGGCGCTTACAACCGGACTGCTGACCATTCAGTTAGGTTGACCTAGAGGAGCTTGAAAACCATGATTCCAAAGCTATGGTGTACAGGGGACTTCAGAATCCGATAGGATCGAATGGCATGTATGAACCTGTTTTAGTTACGGGCGACCATAGGGATGTATCTCCTGACGCTGCTCTACTGCCTTTTGTCGGGATCAAACTTCAAGTCGGTGGCTCACGGGGGTGGTCTCTTAAGACAACTACCTGCTTCAGTTTGGGCATCTAAGGAGTATCCTAGGCGTCACACAAACCATGGGGTTTCGTGTGGTGCACCTCTCAGGTTACCCAACTGATGGAGGGAAGAGATGATGTTATTTAAAGAATTCGCAGCTTACCGTAAAATTTTAGTTTTTAATTATTTCTACAAATCTATAAACTCACTCAAGAACAAAGTTTTCAGGCCAAAGGACTTTGTTGACCCGATTGGACAAAATAACCTTATCTACATAATATCTTGCAATGGCTGTAAGGTCATTCCAGTATATGCGGGGGTGGAGTGTCAGTTAGTTTATTGAAGCATAAGACTTTAGCTAATTGTAGAATGACTGACCTTAAATAAAGATGAAGAAACATAGAGAAGTCGAACTCAGCAAATTTTATGTTAGGCACTAACACATAATCACACAATAAGATGGTGGTACAAAGCTACAGTTTTGAAGGGGTAATATAGTTTGGTCAGTGGATCCCTTGCTCATCGAATCTACACGAAATGCATGCAGTAGGAATAACGCCGAATAGCAATGCGAGAGATATGAAAAAAGAAGTTATTATTATAGTTCTGATCTATTCCCAGTGGAGCATATGGCTTCAGCAGCACTTCTCCTTTTTCTCCTCTTCTCTGCACGATTACTCATTGACTTTCATCTCCATCTGACATAGTCAACTTTGAATCACCCTCGAAGTGACGCCCAACTCGTCCTTTCCCAATCGAGTTTCACTGGGACTTGGTGCACAATGTCATTCGACAGTCTCCTCAGCGTGTGACCGTTCTTTTCTACATTTCCTTCGGTATACCTGTTGAGGAATAGGTTCTCGACTAGTTCTTTTCCAGATTTTCTTGTTGCTAATTATTTCTGGCCTGCCGGCCGTCACGAAAAGCATTTCCAACAAGTTACTGCAGCTGCCCCCTTCGCTGACTCCATATTCAAGATCAGGTGGCCAGCCGGCCAGTCAGAAATAACTAGCAACAAGAAACTCTGACTGAGAACAAAACAACAGGTGAGAGCCGATTACTCAACAAATATGTTGGAAAAAATAAAGATGGATCGATCGGGCATACATCGAGGAGGCTGTCGAATGACATTGCGCACCAGCTAGGCCATTGCTTGAGTGGAAGCGGAATGGGAAGCAACAAGTAGTGGGTCGTCGGTGCTAGCGAGGTATGGAGGAGATCGTTTGAGTTGGAGGACTAAGAGATGAGAGATTATATAGTCACTTGTGGAGGTAGCCAGTTGAAGAGGACAGCAGTAAATAGAAAGAAGTGTAGATGTCTTGTTGAAGCCGTATGTTCCATTCGGAACCCAAGGGAATAATATTACTACTACTACTATTATGGTGAGAGCTGGCTGCTAGCCAAAGTTGGTAGACAGTAATTGACGTCAATGTTTACGCATCCAATATTGGTGGTGAGAAAATGAGAACAAAGGCTTTGCGTAGGCGGATACAATTAGCATATGAATGATCTGACACAGTCACAAAGAGATGCAAGGTTAACTTTCTGTGAGAAACAACCAATCAAAAGACTGAATTTTCTACTAACAATAATCTACATTAATGTAGATTAAAATCTATAAATATGTGTTGATTTTCCTTAATAAAGGATCTGTTGCCTGACTCTTGCCTTCTGTTGTTACACTATTACTACTACTAATAATAATATTCTTAACCATATTATTTTCTCCATATTGTTTTAACGTTCAAATTGATATTCTATAGATGCTATTGATGATCTACCGGACGAGGTGTTTGAACTTACAGAAGAAGATATTCGTAAATTATTACGTTCATATCACAATGAATGGTAAGTTGATTAAAGTTATTTACTAAAAAGTAAAAAAAACAAACGAATATCGATTTCATACATTTTATACATCCCTTGATAAATTTCGATAGAGAAAGAAAGACCAGATTTGCAGTATAAAATGTGATATCATCATTCTATTTCACAGGTTACCATCAGCTGTACACCACTACCTAAAATTACAATGGTTATATTTCATTGTTTGAAAGGTAATAGAGAAAACATTATAAGATGTCATCTGAATTGATAACAACCAGTGGTGTCCGTCAGGGATGTCCACTTTCCCCTTTTCTGTTTAACTTCATCATAGATATGCTAATGGAAGTATCCTTAACTGAACTTAATGACTTAGGAATCGACTTGTTACCAGGGAATAGTCTTATAGACTTAGAATACGCAGACGACATAGTCCTGTTAGGGGAGGACGCTGACAAAATGCAGAGTCTTCTGAACACCTTGAGCAGCAATCTTCGTATGTTTGGCATGCGATTCGCCCCTGTGAAATGTAAGCTGCTGCTACAGGACTGGACTACGTCAACTCCAAGCTTAGTGATAGGGAGTGAAGAGATAGAACATGTTGACCACTTCACCTATTTGGGAAGTTGTATCAGCACCAACGGATTGATTGGTGACGAAATCTCAGCACGGATCCAAAAAGCTCGAGCTGCTTTCGCTAACTTACACCATCTCTGGCGGACGTAGGCGTGACATCCGGCTATCAACCAAGGGACGTGTATACTGCTCATCAGTTCGCTCCGTCCTTCTCTATAGCGGTGAGACGTGGCCATTGAGGGCGGAAGACATGAAGAGATTGTCTGCTTTTGACCACAGATGTTTACGATCTCTTTCTCGCGTTAGGTGGTATAATAAGGTAAGTAATGTTGACGTTAGGCGTAGAGTGTTGGGCAAAGAGGGAAAATCACTCGAAGAGGCTATGAATTTACATAGATTGAGATGGTTAGGCCACGTGCTGCGCATGTCTAACCATCGTCTCTCCCGACGGGCATTACTAGCTGATATAGGTGCAGGTTGGAAAAGAGTAAGTGGTGGCCAAACAAAAACATGGCCTCATCAATCCATGAAATCCCTGACAGTTAAACTGAGTCAGTTAGGGAGGGAGATGCAGACTTCTGGGTTGGGGCCCGCCCTCGGGACTCTAAGAATCAATGGCTGGAGACAATAGGCGACATGGCTCAAAATCGTTGTCAATGGCTTACGCAGATGTATTCAGTCTCTTTAACCTTCATACTCCTTTCTACCATTACTCATTCTGTTTCACTCTTATACTTATCTAAATTCTATTGATTCTCTTCAATCATTTTCTTGTCTACCTTTGTGTGGTATTTGGAACGTAGCAACTGGAACTGCTGCACTTCGGTGCCAAGTTCTATGTTGAATCCAGCAGCAGCAGCAGCAGTTATAAGATGAATGCATCCGAAATATTATAAGGATTAAGATTTATAGTTTAAGTTACCATAAATTTATATACTACCAAACTATGAAAAAGAAAAAAAGCGTGGCGGGGGGTGAGAGAAGACAGAAAACAGAAAAATCTAGTGAACAGTGTCAACATGACAACCCAACAAGGTCAAGGTTCATCAATTTGAAAACTTGCTTCGTGAGGTCAACTCACTGCCAGTCATTGAGAAGGACGATTTTGAGCCAGCCATATCACCGATTGTCTCCGACTGTCATTGGTGTTTACCGTCCCGAAGACCCTAACCAGGAAGTCTACATCTTTCTACGTGGCTGGCTTAAACTAACTGTTGTGGATTTCATTGACTGATAAAGCCATGTTTTGGTTCGACCACCACTAGCTAGCTCTTTTCCAGCCTGACCCTATGTCAGCTAACATTGCCTGTCGAGGAAGGCGATGGCTAGGCATGCATGCGTAACACATGTCCTAACCATCTAAGTCGATGTAGCGTCACAGCCTCGTCGATTGATTTCCCCTCCTTACCTAACACTCGACCGATGCCTAACCTCAATATTACTCATCCCACCAATGCCACGTAACATGCGCGAGATATAGAACTGAAACACCTATGGTGAAAGACAGCTAGCCGGCCTTTTCATATTTCCCGCTTGTAATGGCCATGTCTCGCGGCCAGTCATAAAGAAGGACTGAGCGGACTGTTGGCCTTTATTTACTTTCTATCAAAATCAGGCTTATTTACTATGCTTTATATTTAATTGCATGGAGGATTTCATCATGAGCTGACATCCGTTAGAGAACCATTGGAGAAATCACCAGAGAGTACTGGACGGCTGTTTCGTCATCTTCGTTTGGGACTCTTCTTCAGTAAGCACCCGCCACCAGGGTTCGAACCCAGGACCTTCTGGTTACAAGGCGAGCCCGTAAACCATTGAGCCACTGGGACCCGATCCAGTGGTCCTTGAATTCTAACTTCTGCCAATTCACGACATAGTGCGACCATTTCGCAATGTCTTCTTCGATGAGTTTCTGCCTCATCTTCAACCTGCTGTACCGGTCACGGCTTCCCACTAGAACCCCACGTTAATTGCTTCAATAGGGCCAGTCACTAGTGGGCATCAGATTAATTTTCAAGTATTGGTTTTGTAGGGATTTTTATTTTTTAATTCACACTTATTGTATGATATTTTGTTTTAAAAGGATAAAATCTGAACCACTTCAAACTGCTGCTATGCGTGCTGAAGCTCGTCGTAAATACTATTCAAAGTATCCCAGAGCTATTATCCAATTTCATTGGGTTGACAACGTTGTTATTCAAGCTTGCTTTACTCCAAGTGAAAAAGGTTAGTGAATGTCCTTCTTTATTATAATTACTATTTATAGGAATTCATCATGAGCTGACATTGATTAGAGAACTGTTTGAAAACCAGTTGGGAGTATTGGACAGATGTTACATCCTAGTTTAGGACTCTTTGACAGTAAGCACCCCCCAACTGCGGGGTTCGAACTCATGACCTTCTGGTTACAAGGTGAGCCCGTAGTTCATTCAGCCACTGGGAACCGATCAAATGGTCAGTTCGTAAATTCCAACTTCTGTCAATTCATGGTATAGCGCTATCACCAGTCAGTGTTACCACTGGCGAGTATTTGTCCCGGTGGTTACGACTTCCCATTAGGACCCCAGGTAACTGCCTACCTGAATAGGGGCCAGTCGCTAGTGAGCATCAGAGTGGATAGGGTCCCAGTGGCTTAATGATCTATGAGTTTGCTTTGTACGCGGAAGGTCCTGAGTTCTAACTGCGGTGTGGGTGCGCACCGATGAAGAGTCCCGAACATGGACGAAGCAACTGTTCAGTTGTGCTCTTTGATTTTCAGTAATCTCTCCAACTGATGTTTGTCCTTGACAGAATCTACACTTTAATTATTATTATTTGATATGAGTTACTTTGAATGCTTTCATTTTATCATATAATAAATTGTCTACATACTATCATTCAGAACGCATACAATTAAGCTTCACAGAAGCAGTTAAATTGATAAATGCAAGTGTTGGTTTGTAGGGATTTTATTGATTGGTTACAGGATTTCATCATGAGCTGACATCAGTTAGGGAACAGTTGGAAAACACCCACAGAGAGTACTGGACAGCTGTTTCGTCCTAGTTTGAGACATTGGCTAGCGGTCGCGCTATGTCGTGAATTGGCAGAAGTTGGAATTAATGGACCATTGGATCGGGTCCCAGTATCCTAGCGGTCTACGAGCTCGCCTTGTAACCAGAAGGTCCTGGGTTCGAATCCCGGTGGATGCGTACTTATAAAGAGTCCCAAACTAGGCTGACGAAACAGCTCCGCAGTACTCCCAGCTGGTTTTCCAATGGTTCTTTAACCAGTGTCAGCTCATGATGAAATCCTGTAACAAATTGATAAATATACGTATTGTTTTTGACAATGAACATTGTCCATCAGTACTATGAAGTATCAGGGATTGGGGTTGAAGGTCATACATCTATCAACTATATACATCTGAAGGTTGAAATTTAATTTGACAACGTGAAATTGTTCTCTTATACACAATTATTACGTTATGCACTCATCGATTGTGTGCAGACTGTTACACTTGTAGTGTCAGAGGGTTGTGTGCTTACTGTCTGCCTTGAGTAGTACTCAACAAATGGAGAGCTCCTTTCGAATTCAAGATAGACTGATTGAAAGTCAAGTTTAATACACGAAATAGAAAACTACATCTCTTTTGAAGTGTGTTAAGTGACCTCAGGGATTTGATTGATTTTGAGGTACATCATAATGGTGACATCAGTCAGAGAACCATCGAAAACCAGGATGTACTGGACTGATGTTTGTCCTAGTTTGAGGCTCTTCATAATTCAGTGTGGACATATGACCCCACCTAACGGGGATTGAACAGAGGATCTGCAGGTTATGAGGCAAGCCTTTCTAATTTGACTGAATTCTGTTTAATTTTAACTTTAACAGGACCTAAAGTAAGCCCAAAGTTAAACTTTAAGCACCACTAACTACCAATGGAGTTCAACCGCACCAATGAGCTTGAAGCGCTCACTGAGCAAGTTTGTGAAACCTGCCAAATAATTTTGTCATCATCAATAAAATATGCTCATCTAAGTGTTATGTTATTAAATGGGATATCTGGCAAGTTTCATCACCCTGGTTAAGTAAAGGACAAACAAAATCCATTCATAATACTATTCTATCTCATCTTGTGGGTGCAGAACACAAGATTGAAGCAAAAAATGAAGCTTTCAAAGTTATCTAGCGCATACCAAATAATCCTCTGACACTGTTGGGATCTACACTAAGAAACCTAACTTATGTATCCAAAAGAAGTTGGTTAGTTCAGACACTGTCCTTACCTTGGTCATCAATCAAGGTCTTAATGATCCTCAATTTGTTATGGAAATTTCCTTAATTTTATTTGATATTCTATTTACTATTACATTTCTACGCTTATTCTAACTTAAGCGTCTTTCTTAAACTGTAATTCCATCGTGATCTTACTTAACAAATCGATAGAATTTAAAAAAACACGAATATTGTTAGTGACGACTATTCTAGAATATTCTGTGTATATAAATGTACGTATATATAATTAATTGTAGAGCTAGAAGAGTAAATTATCGAAAAGGATATTCTGTGTTCAATTATATTTTGTTTTTTTCTAAATGTCTGAGTGAATATGTTCGTGATATTTGATAATTTGCCTACATAATTAACTAGTTTGTTTTTCATCATTTTTTTCCCTTTTTTTGTCCTTATTTTACTTACAGTATCCGAACTGTATGAATTTGTTCGTGGTCTTTTGAAAGATTCTTGTTGTAACTTTCAATTGTGTAAGTCTTTTCTACATTACTGTTATTATTGTTCCCTTTAATTCCTAGAGGAACATAGGGCTTCAGCCGTGCGTCTCCATTGCGTTCGGTTCTCTGCAAAGGTTTTCACCTGGCTCCATGTCTGCCCACACGTTTTCATCTCCACTTCACATGACCTCCTCCAAGTCACCCTTGCACTGACGACCAACTCGCCGCTTCCCTTTCGGGTTCCACTCGAGCAATGGCTTGTCTAGTGATGTCACTTGATGGTTTGTTTTCTCAGAGTATGGTCAATCCATCTCCATTTCTTCCTGCCTATTTGTTGCACAATCGGTTCCTGGTTGGTTCGCTCCCAGGGATCTCTGTTGTTGATCTTTTCTGGCCATCTGATCTTGAGTATTGAGCGAAGACAACTGTTGATGAAGGTCTGTAGTTTGTTTGAGATGCTCTTTATGACGCGCCAAGTCTCTGATCCATCCGTATAGTAGCACTGACTTCACATTGGAGTTGAAAATCCGGATCTTATTTTTGATGCTGAGTGCTGTTGACCTCCACACAGACTTGAGAGTAGTGAAAGCTTGTCTTGCTTTACCGATCCCTGCTTTGATATCCTCATGAGTTCCGTCCACCTGTAGTTGAAACGATGTTTTCCAGGTAGGTAAAAGAGGTTGTTTCTTTCAGGTTCCTTCCATTTATGGTGATTGTTGTCTGTTGTTGTTGTTGTTGTTGCTGTTGCTGTTGGCCAGGAATCTTCATCACCTACGCCTGTTTTCTCGATGTTCACCTGAAGGAAGTCCTATCTTTAATGCTTCTTCTGCCAACTTGTTGCTTTTCACTTGCATATCTTCCAGTTTGAGGGAAATCAGACATATATCATCGGCGAAGTCCAGATCCTCCAAGTTTTTTGTGTGAGTCCATTTTATGCCTGTTTCCTCATTGCCCGCTGTTTGTCGCATTATCCAATCTACTGCAATCAGGAAACTCATTGGCGATAGTAGGCAGCCTTGTCTTACTCCTGTCCTCACTTCGAAGGATTCCGTAAGTTTCCCGTTGTGGATATATATATATATATATATATATATATATATATATAATTATTATTCCCTTAAATTCCGAGGGAACATAAGGCTTCAGCATTCCAACTCCATTTTATCCTGTTCTTTGCATTCCTTGATAGCTGGCTCCACGATTTTTCATAGGCTTTCATCTCTTCCTTTACACGAGTTCCACTATGTCACCCTCACATTCATGCTTAACTTGTCGTCTTCCACATCGGGATCCATTCGAGGGTTTGTCTTTCTGGCGCGGTCTCTTTAGTGTAGGTCCAATCCATCCCCGTTCATTTCTGTATGTTTGTTGTGCTTTATATGGTTCCTGGTCGGTCAAGTCACTGCGCGTTGCATATCATTTCTGGCCATCTGATTTTCATTATGTAGCCAGGGAAATTAGGTGTTGAAGAAAAGTTCTAAGCCTGTTGGAAATACATTTTGTAGCCTAGCAAATCTCTAAAGCATTTAGAAGCACTGGAAATTCTTGTGATGAATGCAGCCTATTTCCACACTGATTTCCCCAACCGATAGTTACTACCTTGATGTGGTGGTCGGGATTGCATATCGCAATGATCCAACAAGCTACACTAGCTGGAACTAGTGTTCCTGCAGGTCCTACCATGCTAGGAAGGTTCTTAAGATAGCGATTAGACTAAAAGCAGTTACCGGCATAGTGTAAGAATTTTCTTTTTTACACTATGCAGGGAGTCCGTGGACGAAGTCGTACTGCTGGGGAACAGGGATGTAACAGCAGTAGTAAGGTGTTTCCCTCAGATGACCAGCATACCAGCCAGCTATGCTGTCTCCACTCTGGAGAGGTGGGGTTAGAAAATGTGGACCCCAAAAATTGTACATCCCGACTTACCCCACCTACTGTGGTTCGTAACCGGCGGTAAATTTACTAATACTGAACCAATCCAAGGAGCCAGTTCATACAGGCCATGCTTGATCGGCCTCAAGCAGTTGTCCCCTGGACTCTGCAGTCACGCAATACTAACTCCCTTTCTGTTTCAGGTACCCGGAGAAAAAAACCAACTTCTACGGTGTAGTAGGTAGTCGGGAAGTAACAACCGCTTACACACCTCCAAAAGTACAGGGAGCCCTCCTTGACATCATTATCCTTCACCCACATCACCCTCATCATCTTACTCCCCTCCTACAATCAGTACTATTCTGCAGACTAGTGAGTCATCTTCACTTCACTCTGTGACACTGATTTCAGATTAATGAAAGTCTGCCTTGCTGTGACATCTCCCCCCTCATCCGTGCCGCCTTTAGTTGAAGTGATGTTAACTAGAAGCAAGTGAAATATGTGACTTTCTTTAGATTTCTCCCGTAGATGATAGTTTAGAAACTTGGCACGCGCGTTATGAAAAGCATTTTCTTTTTAAACAGGCCATTGCAGACTTTTATCAATAGCTACCGCCTTCCTGTTGGCTTGATACTGAATATAAGATGGTCAGAGAGGATTAGCAACAAGGAACTCTAACAGGCAACGAACCACCCAGGAACGTGTATTATTATGTTATTATTATTATTCCCTTGGGTTCCGAGTGGAACATACGGCTTCAACAACACATCTACACTTCTATTTTCTGCCATCCTCTTCAGCTGGGTCCACGATTGACCAAACTCTCATCTCTTCCTCACACGATCTCCTCCATGTCACTCTCGCACCGACGACCCACTCGTTGCTTCCCATTGGGACTCCACTCGAGTGATGGCCTGGCTAGTGCGCAATGTCATTCGATGGTTTCCTCAACGTATGCCCGATGAATCCATCTCCATTTTATCCTACATATCTGCTGATCAATCGGCTCTCACCTGTTGGTTTGTTCATCCCTAGAGTTTCTAATCCTAATCCTTTGCTAATCCTTTCTGGCCATTTGATCTTCATTATGACGCCAATAAACGTGGCAGCTGTTGATAAAAGTCTGCAGTAGCCTGTTGGAAATCCTTTCCGCGACTTGCTGGCCAAGTTTCTGATGAGTATAGAAGAACTAACTGACTGAGTTCACATTTGTATTGAAAATTCGAATCTTGTTCCTCTCGTTGGCTGAGTCAGTGCAGAATATTTTCAAACAGATTCCAGGTTGATGAAGGCGTATATTGTCTTGCTGATTCTGGCTGGCTGTCTTTGATATCTTTATGTGTTCCAACTGACTGTAGTTGAAAGGATACTTCCTAAATAATTGAAGGGATTAACCTCTGTGAAGTCTCTCCCGTTGATTGGTGCTGGTTGTTGTTGTTTATGTTGGTTACCTGCATCACCTCCGTCTTCTCTATGTTCACCTTGAGTTTTGTCATCGATGTCTGCCTCTTTAGTCAGTTTGTTGCTTTTCGCCTGCAAGTTTTCTACTTTGTGTGACATCAAACAAATCATTCACGCGCGGAATCCAGATCTTCTAGAGTCTTCTTATTGGTCCAGCGTACTTTTGTCTTTTTGCTGCCCACAGTCTGAGGCATGATCCAGTTCACGACAATTGAGAATGTCCTCGGTGATAATAGGCAGCCAGCCAGCCTTGTTTTACTCCTGTATGCACTTTGAACAGCTCACGGAGTTATCCGTTGTGGATCACCTGATACATGATGGTATTGTCATATTGCAGCTGTTGAATGAGCTTGATAAAGACCTGGGCACTGCATGCTGTAGTGTTGAAGTAGCTTCCAAATTACTTCTTGATCAACACTGTCTGGTGAAGGCCTTTTAGAAGTCGATAAAAGTGAGGTACAGGTTTGACTGGCATTCTATGCTTTGTTCTGTGATAACGACGCGTAGAGTTACGATTCGGTCAGCACCTGATTTGCCTTTCCTGCATCCAGCCAGCTTGTTCTGGTCGATGGGGTGGAGTTCTGCATCCAGTGCATCCTTTATTCTCTCCAAGAACATATCAACCACCAAATATGCAGAAGAAACTGGAGATGGATTGGACACACATTGAGAAGAACGACGTCACGTGCCAGGGAAGCCCACAAGTGAAACCTCGATGTGAAGCAACGAGTCAGGTATCGCTTCGAATGTGACATGGAGGAGAGTGTGTGTGAGGAGATGAAAAGTTGTCCGCAGTCCTGGAGCATCCAGCGAAGAGGATGAAGTGGAGCTTTATGTTCTACTCGGAACCCAAGAGAATAATAATTATGTTTATAATGTTGGCCATATTTAAACAAGAGTTATTTATTGCCTTCTTTCTCTCATCTTTATTATTTAGATACAACTCCGCCTAAACAATTCCTCTCAGATAAGAATAACACACTTATTCAAGTAAGATCATTGTAATAATATCTAACATTTATCACATTTTATTTTTTAAGTATTAGTTTTGTAGGGATTTTGTTTGATCTTTTGGAGGATTTCATCATGAGCTGACATCAGTTAAAGGATCATTGGAAAACCACCAGGGAGTACTCAACAGCCAGCTATTTCGTCAGCCTAGTTTGGGACTCTTCAGCAGCACACACCTACCGCCAGGGTTCGAACCCGGAGCCCTCTGGTTACAAGGCGAGCTCGCAAACCATTAAACCACTGGGGCCCGATCCAGTGGCCAGCCCGTGAATTCTAACTTCTGCGAATTCATGACATATCGCGACCACTTCGCAATGTCTTCTTCGATGAGTTACTGCCTCACCTTCAATCTGCTGTACCCTACTGGTCACGGCTTCTCACTAGAACCCCAGGTAACTGCCTACCTGAATAGGTGCAGTCGCTAGTGAGCATCAGACCAATTTTCAAGTATTGGTTTTCTTTAGGGAATTTTATTTTATTGGTTGGAGGATTTCATCATGGATCGGGTCCCAGTGGCTTAGTGGTCTACGCGCTCGCTGGCCTTGTAACCAGAAGGTCCTAGGTTCGAAGCCTGACGGTAGGTGCGTACTGATGAAGGGTCTCAAGCTGGGCTGACGAAACAGCTGGCTGTTCAGTACTCCCACAGTTAATTTTTATTTTTCGTTTGAAAACTGTTATGACGAGTCAGT